AAGGACTTCCCTGTTGACACCCACCACTTGGCGCTCATATGACCGTATGCAGTTGCGAGCGCCGTAAAACCCTCTACTATAAAGAAAGAAGTAATCCATTCAGTCTAGTTCAAAAGGCCACGGTAATGAATGAGTTTCCAGTGTCAAAAGAGAAACACATCGATACAATAGTAGTATTAATTTTAATGAACAAAAAGGAAGACAGACAGACAGACGGACAGACAAAAACAAAAAAGGTAAAGAAAAGAAGATGGAAAGTAGCAGTATACGATGAGTGGATCTTCGTTCACTTTGAGAGGACTTCAGAAATTACACCAAAAAAACATTGAGTTCTCTTGAAAGTAAAACAGAACACGTCGATTTCGTCGTTATTGTCGTCGTTGTTGTTGTCTTTTTTCTTCTCCTCCTCTCATCTGTCTCTCCTCTTCCTCTCACCTCATCCCCCTCCTATTCTGCTTCTTATTCAACTTCTTCCCCCGATTGATACCAGTTGTATTTTTTTTTAAAGGGGGGGGGGGACAGCCACCATCACCCCCATATTTGTGTGACCCCACTCCAATCCTTCAGCACATTCGCCATGTCCTTCAAACGCCTCACCTCTCTAAACTCGTTGAAGCTCTTTTTCTTCTTCAAAGGTGAAAACCGAGGTTATGTGTCAATTCATGAATTCCTGTACAACAGCATCTCTCCTTAGGGTTAAGATAGGAAATCGGTGGAAAATTGTGAATTTTTACGTCTTTTCTGTTCTCTTTTTTTTTTGGAAGGGGGGGGGGTTGTTGTCGGTTGTTAACATGAAGGCAAGGAAGAATATTACAAGTAGATTGTTAGTGCGGATGACAGCTTCTAGAACAGGGTGTTCCGATACCTGAGACACACACCCTACCCCCCCTCCCCCCCTCCTCCCTCGGTGTTCAAATTTGGGAGCCACATGGATGGATGGACACCATTAAGACATGGACAGGCCTAGGTAGAGCAGAATGTGGCACGGCAGCTCGCGACTGTGAAGGCTGGAGGGTCATGACACGTCATCCTTTGTTTGAGTCAGTTAAGACACCTCGCTCTTGGTATTCCTGGTATTTTGCAAGCTTATATTATTCTTTTTTACACGCTTATTGTGTCCACATATCCAAAGTCGTTTGGCTCGCCGTTTACAAGGGGTAGAGTCTTATTTAACTACGGTATGTTGGAATTTGAAATGCAATTTGCAAAGGAAAATATCACGGATTTCCGAGAACGAAATCAAGTGTTAGATCTGACCATGACAATGAATGACAATGACAATGACAATCTTTATTCATCTCGCAAGGAGAAATTTGTCCTGGTCGTTAACAAATGAAGGATATTGGCACTTTTATTCGGGCTCAATTGTGAAAGACAGGGTCGAAAAACGCCCCATGAGCTCCCTGGACGATCTTGATACGGCTCTCATCAAAGGTTTTGGGTGATTTGGAACTCGACAAATAACTGACTTATCCATTTCGTTGCTTGAGTCTTACCCTGCCCGCTTGGGTACTGTTCGGAAGGCGGGTGGTAGACACACCAAACATTTAAATGAATATATGAAACTTTGGATTAGAGATTAGGATTAATTATAGTTGAAACCTATTTCATTTGTTGTATTCTATCTAACGTCGGTGTTATAAGAAATCAACCCAAGTTCGTTTGGGTACTTTTTACACAACAGGAATCATGAAAAGCAAGACAATTGTAAGCATTGACCATAGTATCAATTAACTGCATTTTGGTGATGTTGAAAGGTACATCTTTGATAGAGCTTTGGGAGGGTGTAATATTTTTTTTTATATATCAAAAGTTGACCTTAAGAAGATTGCTTGCGACACCAACGCTAGTCTGATTTTGGCTGGCCCCCGGGGAGAGAGGGGGTGTTGTCTAAAGTATGGAACACACCCTGTGCACACAATATCTATCACGAGCACAATAGCAAGGGTTACCCTATTGACGTGTGGGCCACGGGTGCGACAGGGACAGCAGCTGACAGCGCCAACACCCGACCTGACCACCAGAAAATGACGACGAAGACGACGACGATTATGATGATGATGATGATGACGACGATGATGAGAAAAGAACTGGTTAGTCCAAAAAGTCTGAACACGATGGATGTCGCTCGAAACGATTTTAACATTCACAACTGGTCGTTCACGAAAAGGCAATAACTATGGCGAGACAACTCCTACAGCTTCTGCCTGGTACCAAGAAATGGTTGTTCGTCTCCGACTCACCAAAAAGAAATACTCCCCACAAAGCAAAGATGACCTTGGTGGTGAATCCACTAGCGACAAGACTGGCATTTGATAACCATAAGCAAACTAAAAACCGTATTCAACTTATTCAAAGAAACATCTGTAGGCTACATAATTATCAAGACCCGCCTTCTTCATTTGAGCGAGACGTTCATTCGTACACAGCAAAGAAACACTCACTCTATACAGACAATATCTGCACATTAGACGCACGTTCTTTTTCGGCGCATTCAAAAGACACAAAACGTCGATGCCTTCAAAACGCTCCTCCAAATACACAAGAAAAAGGAGAAGAAAAAAAAGAAGAATGGGAAGAAGAAGAAGACACGGACACTAAGACTCCTGCAGCTGGCTTCCTGTATTCTCCACAGACCAGGAATATATTTATCATTTGAATTCTACACAGCTAATTATCGAGTGGGACCGCTCGCGATGCACGACAGAGCCCGGTCTGAACTCACCACGACACAGACACAACCGAACTATTCAACACCTCAGATCTCGATGATGATGATGATGATGATGATGACGAGGAAGACCGTGCTCACTGTGCTACCACCATAGAAAAGTTGGAACCCGAACAAACCACCACATCTACGCTGCTTCTAAACGCTTCCATTTCACATCGTCGCATCCTCATCCCATCTCACCGCCATTCCCCTTACCAATAACGCACTAGCTGAATACGGCGCCATCTTGAATTTCTTGACTAAGGGAATTACTCGTGGCGCGGAGATGACCGAAATCGATTCCTGCAAGCTTCACGATGCCGTACTCTCGCTCTAGCCGCTTCCGCTTCCAGTGAGCAGACGGAGTGGGTCTGTCACAGACACGCAAACGCACTCGCGAACACACACGAGAACGGACATCTCGTTCAGGGCCAGGCACATTCATTTGTTGTATCTAGGACATTTGCCATAACCCACCCGCCCACCTCAGTGATAGTTAGGCCTATTTATTTAAAATGAAATAAGAACTAAAAAATCACATGGTCACCCAAGTCTCTTTCTGTTCCAGTTTTTAAAAAAGGAGAGAGAGAGAGAGAGAGAGAGAGAGA